GAAAAAAGAATAATCTGTGTGAAAGTTATTTAGATAACTTTTTAAAATTAGCACATCTACTGCTAATGAATTGGTATACAGAATGAGGGAGATTTTAGTTCCACATTTATCTCTGCTCATTAGGTCACAATGGAAGATTGTTCTTAGTCTTGGATACCATATATGACCAAGGATATTAGCAACTTGAAACATGTATGAAATAGAGGATTAAGGACTGTGAAAGGACTTAAATATCATTGTATGTGAACTACTGGGACTATTTTAATGTGTACAAGGGATAAAGAGGGTGGCCCAGGATCCAATTTTAAAACATTGGGTGGCCCATGATACAGAAGACAGATTCAACTTGTTTTGCTTTGTAAGAGAATATGATCAAGAGTATAAATCACAGTATATGATCACAGTATAAATGCTGTGGGAAAACATATTTTGACTCAATTTAAGGAATACTTTTATAATGGTTTGAGGCGACCACATATGCAGTGGTCTCTTTAATGAGAGAAAGATTCTTCTATCAATGACAAGGCTGGGATTTATGAGGAATGTGGCATCAGGATTGGGGGGAGACTCATCAACAACCTATGTTATGCAGATGACACAACCTTGCTTGCTGAAAATGAGGTGGACCTGAAGTGCTTGCTGCAGAAGGTCAAGGACTGTAGTCTTCAATATGGATTGAAGCTCAACATCAAGAAAACAAAGATTCTCACCAGTGGGCCAAGTGGCAGCACCATGATGGCTGGAGAAGAGATTGAGGTTGTCAACAGTTAAAGCTTGCTTGGCTTCAAAATCAACACTTTTAGCACCAGCAGTCAGAAAATTAAAAGGTGACTTGTATTAGGTAAAACTGTTGTCAGGGACCTTTCAAGAGTACTGAGAAGCAACAATATCAGTCTAGAGAAACTGAGATGTGCCTGATCCAGTCCATGGTATTGACAATTACTTGCTATGCACCAGATAGCTGGACAATGACTAAGGATGATAGAAGTTGTGGTGCCAGATAAGAGTCTAGATCATAACATGGACCACCAAGAAAACAAATAGGTCTGTCTTGGAGAGGGTGAAACCAAGTTTCTCATCTCACATTGGGCATGTGGTCATGAGGGACCTATCCTTGGAGAAGGACATCATTCTCAGAAGGATGGAGGGACAGCACAGGAGGAGAAAACCCCGGATGAGATGAATTGATACAGTAACTAGGGTAATGGAGGTAGATGTATTGGAATCAGTGAGACTGGCTCAGGACACTGCAGACTTCAGAGCGATTGTACATAGGGTCGGTATGAGTTGCAGGTGACTTGACAGCATATAACAATAACAATATTTAAGCAGAAGCCATATAACTACTTGACAAAGAACTTGCAGGAGGGAATCCAACATCTGTGTATAAAGGAGGGGAATTAGACAACCATTAAGGGGCTTCTGGTACTGTAATTTTCTTAACTAGCTTTTATCTCTGCTTCTGCACCTAGGCTCCAGAAATCTTTTCCTGAATACTTTGCCATGGACCTTCCAGATCAAGTATTATAAAATCCAAGTTGTGTCAAGAAATCTGAAGGACAACCAGCAGGCCAACTGACTGGAAGAGGTTCATATTTGTTTCCATTCTAAAGAAAGGTGACTCTACGGGAATTACCGAAAAATATCATTAATATCACATGCAAGCAAGATTCTGCTGAAAATTATCCAAAAACTACTGGAACAGCATATCAACAGAGAACTTCCAGATATGCAGGGCTGGGTTTAGAAGAGGCTGTGGTAGTAGGTATATTATTGGCTACTGTTAGATGAATCATGGCTGAAAGCAGAAAGTACCAGAGGAAGGTCTATCTGTGTTTCATTTACTATGCAAAAGCATTTGACTGTGTGGATCACAACAAACTGTGGCTAACTCTGAGAAGAATAGTAATCTCAGAACATTTGATTGTGCTTATGCAAAAACTATACTTGTACCAGGAGGAAAAGAGTAAGGAAACACTGGTTGCGTCCTATCTCTATACCTTTTCAATCAATATGTGAAACTGACCATTTGGGATGTTTGGCTCTATGAGGAGAAATGTGGCATCAGGATTGGAGGAAGAATCCACAACAACCTGCATTCTGCAGATGACACAGCCTTACTTGCTGAAACTGAGGACCTGAAGCACTTGCTGCAGAAGGTCAAGGACTGCAGCCTTCAATATGGATTAAAGCTCAACATCAAGAAAACAATATAGATTGAAGCTCAACATCAAGAAAACAAAAATTCTCACCACTGGGCCAATTGGTAGCATCATGGTAGGTGGTGAAGAGATTGACACCTTCAGTTAATAGCTTTGGTTTGCTTGGGTCCACAATCAGCACTCTTGGTACTAGCAGCCAGGAAATCAAAAGACTAATTGCATTGGGAAACTCTGCTGTTAGGGACCTCTCCAGAGCACTGAAGAGCAATGATGTCAGTCTGGAGACTAAGATGTGCCTGATCCAGGCCATGGTCTTTGCAATTACTTGCTATGCATCAGAAAGCTGGATAATAGCTTGACTAGGGATGATAGAAGGAGAATTGATGCCTTTGAGCTGTGGTGCTGAAGAAGAGTATTGAATATACCATGGACTGCAAGGATAACAAATAGGTTCATCTTGGAGAGGGTGAAACCACCCTGCTCCTTGGAGGCAAAGATTCTGAAGCTCCATCTGACATACTTTGGGCATGTTACAAGAAAGACCCAGTCCTTGGAGAGGGGCATAATGCATGGGAGGGACAGTGCAAGAGAGGAAGACCCTCAATGAGATGGATTGACTCAGTGACTGCAGTAATGGGGGTAGGTGTACCAGAGACAATAAGGTTGGTTCAGGATAGAGCAGGGTTCAGAGCTGTTGTACATAGGGTCACTATGAGTTGCAAGAGACTCAATGGCACATAACAACTATGACAGCATTCTAAAATCTCAGTAATCAGATACTTTAATCGCCTTTCTATTATTCATACTGGGTGGTTTTTCAGTCATTGCTTGAATATCTCTGGTGATGGAAACTCAAGTGCCTCTTGCGTACGTCCATTTCAATATCAGAGATACTACTAATCAGTAGAAAACTCTTCCTGAAATACAGTAAAGTATTTGAATGTTAGGCTTAAGAATATTTTTCTTCTCTCAGTTTGAAATGGTTGAAGGACTTTGATATAGTGTAATAATAAGGCAAACTTTTTTTTTAGTATAAGAGAGAAAAGTCATCTTCCTTATGCTGAACCAAAATCTTCTATAATTTCCACGTGTTAGATCTTGGAGCCTTTGGAGTCATAAAGAACACATCCATAGCTTCCTCTTCCCCATGATCCCAGTAATGATTTGGTGACATTGGCAAGTTTCCTCTAGGATCTCTCATTCCCCTCATGACACTCATTACTCTTCTCTGAACATACTTTTGTTAATTCCTCCCTTGAAGTGTGGTTTTCATAACCGCATAGAGAGCAATAAATGTGGTCTGACCAGTGCAGTGTGGCACAACATGATCACTACTTTTAGTCTGAATATAACATTTAAAGTATTCCAGAGTCTCACTAGTTTTTGTAGCAACCAGACTTATTTTGACATAATGAATTTTAATTTACATTAAAAGTTCATATCTCTCACTACTCCTGTACTGTTACATTTTGGAATTAAGGAGCTTAATATTTGCCCCTGTTCTTTTCACTTTTGCTATAGTAAGACTATCATATCTGCCTCTTAATATCTCCATGAATTCTGATTCTGTCATCTTACCTTTTTTAAAAAAAACTTTACACAGAACTCATTTAATCTTCACAGCACTATGACGTGTATACACACACATATACACACCAACCAAAACCAACCCACAGCCATTGAGTTTATTATGACTCATTAGGGACCCTCCCTCAGGCTTCCAGGGCTGTGAATTTTTACAGGAGACTGCCTGTCTTTCTCCCTTAGAGCAGCTGGTGGATTCAAACCACTGACCATTTCAGTTAGTAGCATAACATGTAAAGTACACCACTAGGGCTCCTTATACACACACACACACACACACACACACACACACACACACACACAAACACACAATTTAACCCATTTTACAAGTGAGAAAACTAAGGCACAGAATAGTTAACATCTTGCTCAAGATCAAAATTAGTAGAGGTAAAGCAAGATGAAGTCCAGGCTGCCCTAACTCTGAAATTGCTCCCTTATCCATGGAGTGTGCATCCTTCCCCACACACCTTCACCTCCACTAAGCTGTAGGAAGAGGTGACCACTCTCTCCAGATCACATGCTTAACTAACAGTGTGTGATTCAATCTCCAAAGAACCCAGGGAAGGACGAACTACTCACTGCGCACACCAGGAAGCAGAAACAATGTTGGAGAATGTACCAGGGCCACACAGACCAGGAAAGCACAGAACTGACATCCAGACCCTTGCACCACCAAGCATCCCCTCCCCAACTAGTGCAGGGAGCAAAAGAGAATAATGGAGACCAGAAGGCAGGAATGGAGGCGGCGGCAGAGGGGTTAGGTAGCAGGATATGGAAGTGTGATCCAGAGATGCAAGGAGGTAGTCCTCAGGTCTGGAGGGCATGGCCTTTATGGTTCCAGGGAAACTCTGTACCTCTTCAGGTGGCTTGGTGGGGACCAGGAAGTTCAGGGGACCCTAAACAGCCCAATGACTGGAGATCGGCTACTCTGGCCCTCACACTCATTCCAGGGCACAGCCTCCAGCCCCATGGGGTCCTCATTCCACATACCTGTCCTCAACGTCTTGGTTGCTAGGGAGAAAGACAGTCTAGGGTGCAAGGGGCACTCTGGGGGACCCAAAAAGCCAAGGAGGGTGTGAGACCTGCACTGGGTACCAGCTGGGAAGGACATGCTACCTCTAGCCCACAAAGCCCCTCCTTTCCTTCAGACATCATCCTCACCAGCCTGAGAAAGGACAAGGGCCCAGACAGCCCTGCTCTGGAGAAAGGAAGGAGGCAGAGGCGAGGGGGCCAGTTCACTAGGATGAAGGAACTTCACTGGGGCAGGCGCCGCAGGTACAGCAACAGGAGTGCGGCCAGGAGTACCCCAGCTGTGGCAACCGTGAACCCCAGCTTCCAGAAGGACAATCTGTTGTACTGCACCTCAGTCTCCAGCACCTCCTGTACTGGGGGCTCCAAGGGGACAGGCGATCTGGGGTTGCCATCCAGGAGGTCAGCACTGGGGTCTTCAGCTGTGTGGATTTCAAAGGAAGTCACAGACCTGCATACACACTCATTCTCTTCTGGGACTTGGACGGGCCCCCCTTGCAGGGAGTCACTATGACTGATGGCTAGGTCCTCAGAGGAGATCGAGAAAGGCTGGCTGTCCACCCGGGATAACAGCACCCCTGGCTTACTCAGTTCTGACACTGTGGCCAAGTCTTCGGTTCTGTTGTCTGACCAAGGAGCATGACCTCTCGGGCCTGCAGGTGCAAGAGCCTCTGTAGTTTTCTCTGGTCTATTTCTGGGTACTGCCTTGGTGGGCACCTTGTTAGGCCCCGGGCCAGTGGGTGTCCTGTGCTCAGACCCCAAGCCAGTGGATACTTTTGGTGGCACTGTGCCTGCACACGCCGTGGTGATGGGTAACTTGGACGGAGGCACGTTTGGGGGCATTGTACCAGCAGGTTTCACACTGGTGGGCAACTTGGAGGGCACTGGGTGGGCAGAGGCTGAACTGGCAGGCACTTTGGAGGGCACGGTTTTCACAGGCATCGTAGGCAGCTTGGAGGTTGCTGAGCTGATGGGCATTGAGCTGGCCGGCACTCTGGCGAGTGCTGTGCTGGCGGGTACAGTGCTGGCAGGTCTCACCGTCTCACTGTCACAGGTTGGAACCTCACCCTGGTCACCAGCACCTCTTGGAGAAGCCAAGCCAGGGGGTATGGAGCTGGAGGAGGTGCCAGAGGGTGGAGCTGACACTGGGGGTCCAGGCAAGCTGCTTGCCCGGGGCGTGGAGCGGGCGAGGGGCTGGAAGGAGACGGATGGAGACACCGGTCCACGGGGTGTCGTCGGACTGGAGACCACACCTGCAAGGTGGGTATTGCCCAATTCTGAGTCCTGTTCCTGATGTCTGCCGGAGGTCGAAGGGCTGAGGGCTACCACATCAGAGGAGGGATCCGGGGGCCCATGTGGCTTCCTCGGGACAGCCCCGAAGCTGGGCGTCTGTGGGGCTTGCTCAGATTTCTCCCCCAGGGACTCTGGTGGCCTGGTGGCCTGGACAGGTGTGGGGTAACTTGACTCATCCTCTCTGTAGCCATTGTAAGGGACACAAGGAACCTCGGCGGGCCCTGGAACCTCAGCAGGTCTTGAGACTTCAGCAGGCCTTGGGACTTCAGCGGCTCTTGGAACCTCAGTGGGTCTTGGAACCTCAATGGATCTTGGAACCTCAGTGGATCTTGGAACCTCAGCAGAAACTAACATCAGCTCCAGTGAGGCTCGGGGACGTTTTGGATCCTTGGCTAGGTTGCTCTCATAAACCCTGGTCACTTCTTTAGCAAGATCGGAATGGGCACAGGCCCTCAGCGCCTCAATGAGGCAAACCACCCAGTTTTTCCGCCACTGGAGGCTGTTGAAGAGGTCCCAGAGGGTGTCCTGGTTTCCTATTCGTGTGTAAGTGGCCCTCAGGCGATCCTGATCATTTGCTGTGAGGCAGGGCAAGTAGGGTAGAATCTTGAGAACATCAACACAGTGGAAATGACGGTAATTGCGGCGGATATACAGATAGGTCTGTTCCTCAGCGTACATCACTGCTCAGGTTCTGAAGAGAGATGAAGGGTGGATGGAGAAAGGAAAAGACACGACCCAGCGACCTGCAGAAGTCGGGGCAACCGGAACCCCTCATCTCACCTTTTGACTCCCAGCTTTGTGTAATTTGTAAATTTGACCTAGTAACATTAAAACAGAACATTTCCATAGATAGTCATTCAATTTTGTAAGAATCCACATTGCTCCACAAGCACCACGAAAGAATGTTTTGCTGAACTCAAGATAAACAGTAGATATTAACATTCCACTCAGAGATGATGAGGCTGGCACAGGATAAAGCAGGGTTCAGAGCTGTTGTACATAGGGTTATTATGAATCACAAGCAACTTGACAGCACTTAACAATAACATCCATCTAGTCACCCTATCAAAGGAAAGGAGCTGAGTAGGGTATGCTTTGGTTTTTTTCTAAATCGATGCCAGGGTGAAGTGATCTTTACAACTTCAGGAATTGTTCACTAACTTTCCACTTAATCATTAAAATCTTGTCCTGAAATATGGGGAAATGGTTTCTGTAACCATTGTTTGGATTTGTTAGTATTTTTCAGTGGATATAAAAATTGGGCCATAGTTTATTAATCTCTCAACTAATGCCTATATTACATTATCCTTAATTGTTATTATTATACTGTTTTGTGAACCTGTAGAAACAAGTGCTTTTTATCTCGAAATTCAACAAAACAGGAAGAATATGCATGCATAGAATAATACATTCTATGTAGCCATGTCACTATTTCTTGCATATTTAGATATTTTGATTCCTATGATGCCTTTTTACTTTTTTGTTGCTGCACAAAACTGATCAAAGGAAAGTAAGCATCAGTTTAAAAAAAGAAAAGAAAAAATCTTGCCCTGATTCATAACATCTTGTTGTTGTTAGGTGCTGTTGAGTCGAGCATGACTCATAGTGACCCTATGAACAAAAGATCTGAACCCTCTTCTATCCTATGCCATCCTCACACTTTCTAACACACAGAGGCCATTGCAGCAGTCACCATGTTGAGGGTCTTCCTCACCTTTGCCGACCTTCCACCTTTCCCAGCATCATGTCCTTTTCCAAAAAATAGCACGTCCTAGCAACATGTCCAAATTATGTGAGGCAAAGCCTCATCATTCTTGCCTCCAAAGAGCACTTTGGTTGCACCCTCTCCAAGACATATCTGTTTGTTTTCTTGGCCGTCCGTGGTCCATTCAGTGCAGTTCTCCAACATCATAGCTCAAAGGTGCCAATTCTTTTTTCTGTCATCCTTATTCATTGTCCATCTCTCAGATGCATAGCAAATAATCAGAAAGACTGTGGCCTGAATCTGATGCATCTTAGTCTTCAAAGTGACATCACTACTCTTCAACAATTTGGAAAGGTCCCTAACTGCAGATTTTTCCAGTGCCATGTTATTTCCTGACTGCTGGTAGCAAGGGTGTTAATTGTGGATCCAATCAAGATGAAGCTGTTAACAGTTTCAATTTCCTCTCCATCCATCATGACTCTGCCCTTTGGTCTAGTGGTAAGAATCTTTGTTTTCCTGACATTGAGATGCAATCCATACTGAGGGATGCATTCCTTGATCTTCTGCAACAAGTGCATCAAGTCCTCCTCACTTTCAGCAAGCAAGGTTGTGTCATCCACATGAAGCAGGTTATTAATGAGTCTCTCTCCAATCCTGATGCCATACTCCTCCTCACAGGGTCCAGCTTCTCAGATAATTTGCTCAGCATACAGATTGAATAGGTATGGAGAGAGACTATAACCCTGGTGCACTCCCTTCCCAATTCCAAACCATGCAGTGTTCCCTGCCCTGTTAGCACACAGCCCCTGGTCCAGGTATAGGTTCCACATGAGCATTATCAAGTGCTCTAGGATTCCCATTCTTCTCAATGTCAACCACGACTTGTCATGATACTTTCAGCCAGGATCCATCTGACATCAGCAATGATATTGCTGGTGCTATGGCCACTTCTAAATCCTGCTTTAACTTCTGGCAGTTCCTTATCTATGTACTGTTCCAGCCGTTTTTGAATGATCTTTAGCAGTATTTTGCTTGCATGTGATATCAATTATATTGTTCGACAATTTCCACATTCAGTCAGATCACCTTTCTTGGGAATGGGAACAAATATGGACCTCTTCCAATCCATTGGCCAGACAGCTCTCCTGCAAATTTCTTGGCATAGACTGGTGAGTGCATCCAAAGTTACATCTGTTAATTGAAACAAGTCAATTGGTATCACATCGATTCCTGGGCCCTTATTTTTTGCCAATGCCTTCAGCGCAGCTTCCATTTCCTCCCTCATTACCATTGATTCCTGTTCATATGGTACTTCCTGAAATTTTTCAGTGTAAATCAAGTTTTTCTGGTACACTGATTCTGTGTATTCCCTTCGTCTTCTTTTGATGCTTACTGGGTGATTCAGTATATTGCCCATAGCATCTTCAATATTGCAATATGAGGCTTAAATTGGTTTTTTCAGTCCATTCAGCTTGAGAATTGCAGAATTAGTTCATTTTTTTAATTCTCCAATTCCAGCTATCTTCACATTTCATTGTAATATTTTGCTTTGTCTTCCCAAGCTGCCCTTTTAAATCATCTGTTAAGATCTTTCACTTCAACATGTTTTCCTTTTGTTTTGGCTTCTTGATGCTCCAGTGCAATCTTAAAGTCTCTTCTGACATCCATTTTTATTTTTTCTTTCTCCTCTGTTTTTGTAATGACCTTTTGTTTTCTTCATGGATGATATCCTTGATATCATCCTACAACTCATCTGGTCTTTGATCATTGGTGTTCAGTGCCTCAAACCTATTCTTTTCTTTCTTTTTTTTTAATATGGAACACATCATGAATTTGCATGTCATCCTTGCGCAGGGGCCATGCTAATCTTCTCTGTATCATTCCAATTTTAGTATATGTGCTGCCGAAGCGAGCACTCAAACCTATTCTTAAGATGATCATGAAGTTCAGATCTTATCGTGGTTCCTGTGGACTTATTTTAATTTCCCACAGTCTGCCCCTGGCCTAGTTTTGACTGTCAATATTGAGCTTTTCCTATGATTTCTTTCACAAGTGTAGTCAATCTGATTCCTATGCAGCCCATCAGGTGAGATCCATGTGTAAAGTCAGTGCACAGGTAGGAGAGGATAACATTGGCAAATGAGATCATCTAAATATTAAGTCCCTGTGTACATCAACAACCTTTTCAATAGAGTGAAAAGGAAATCTACTGATGGGGGGGGGGGAAACAACATTTGGCAATGACAGCTCCGACAATGGTCTTATAACAAAAGTTTACAGAATAGTACTGTGTCTCCACAAGGAAAAGACTAATAGCCAAATTACAAAATGGGCGAAAAAATCTTGAAAGACTTTTCACAAAGGAAGACAGTCAGATGATCAACAGACACATGAAGAAATGCTCAGAATCACTGACAATCAGAGATATGCAAATCAAAACCACAATGAGATACCATCTCAGCCCAGTTATTGTTGTTAGGTGCTGTCAAGTATGACTCATAGTGACCCTATGAACAGTGGCAAAGTTTTTCAGGATGGCAAGCAAGAAATGTTGGAGATGATGTGGAGAGATTGGACTCTCATACACTGTTGGAGAGATTGTAAAATGGTACAACCAGTCTGGAAAGCAGTTTGGTGTTTCCTCAAAAAGCTGAACATAGACATTCCATATGACACAGCTATTCCACTTCTAGGAATACATTACAAGGAAAACAGAACTGAGACACAAATGGAGATTTGTACACTGGTATTCATAGCAGTGTTAGTCTCAATAGCAAGAAAATGGAAACAATCCAAATGTCCATCAACAAATGAATGTATTGAGAAATTGTGGTACATTCACAAAATGGAGCATGCATACTATGGAGCACTCAGGAGCAATGATTTTGTAAAACACTATATAACATCGGAGAGGCTGGAGAACATTATGCTAAGTGAACGAATTCAGTCTTTTAAGGACAAATACTGCATGAGACCATTATTATAAAAATAGAAGGGTAACTAGTAAGATAGGTATAAAAATCCAAAGAAGGAAAGGGAGGGGAGCGGGGGACTAATGGTGGGGAGGGGGGAATCACAGGGTCACAGAATTTGACAGGTGGAGGGAGGGGGGTAAAGGAATTAGGATAGATCTAGTGGGGACCTGAAAAGATGAGATCATAGTGGGCATAGATCAATGGGGACTAATTTTATAAAACACAGTGTATAGGAATGATTGTATGAAACACGAAGTGAGTTAAGGAATGTATGAAACACAATGTACAAGAATGAAACACAATGTATACAAATTTTTATATATAAATAAATATATTATTTTCAAAATCTTTCCCTAAATAAATATTAAATGTATTAATCTATAATTTGTGGGACTCATCTTTTCCCATATGCAAAAATGTGGGGCCATATTTATTCATCTATAGGCTGCCAGTGGTTTTTTTCCCCTCCAATCTCCATGAGGTTTTCAAAGCTACTACTATGTCCTGAGGGGAGCTCTGGTGGCTTAGTGGTAAGGAGTTGCACTGCAAATACGAAGATAATACAGTTCAAATCCACCAGCTATTCTGTGGAGAAAGATGGGCAATCTCTTGTCATGCAATTTAATGCTTCTGAAAACCCATTGGATGGTTAGTTATAGGTCAGTTCCCACTTGACAGTAATTAGCAACAACAACTGTGTCCTGCAATTTGAGCTCGAAGTCCACTTAGTACCCTGGGCTTCATTGACTCAGACCATGAGAGTAAGGGCTCTCTTCTACTAGATGACTGTTTTCTACTAGGAACTTCTCTTTGGTATTCACTCTGTCCTTTATACTTTGAACATTTTTCTCCTTGCAAAAGAGAGCAGGAACTAGGAGCTGAGGTTTTGTTCCTCTCTAAAGCCATTATTAGAACACAAGTTCTTAGGACATCTCCATCATTCATCCAATAAAACCCATAATCTTCTGTTGTTATGAAGACCTCTACAACTTACCTTT